AAGCAACTAGCATTAAGATCAAGAGAAATAACAAGAGAATCACCATTTAGCACACAAAAATAAAGGATAAGAAAAATTGGCAATCTTCACTTGTGGCAACCAATCTCTGTTGCTGGTTCGCTACAAATATTATTTTAAAGGGAACAAAAAAGGCACAGTTTTTATTGAAAAATCATTATACAACATTTTTCACCCTGTTAACAAAAGATACTTGACTAAAACCAGTAGCGAAGCTACGATTTTCACTAATGTGTTTGAAAATATTAAAAAGTAAATATATCAAGGGGATTCAACACATACTATATATACATAAAAGAAAATTACCGATCTAAAAAATGTAGATTTCTGCCGAAGAATTGACACCCATTGGAGCTATGTGGTTCTGCCACTGACTCAAACCATAAAAATACTACTCATTAGGAAGTGTTCAAATACGCTAAGAACCCAAGGCTCCCATTTCCCCGAGAGAAAATCGCACTTTCAAAAACAGTTTCATTTCTAGTGCATGTGCTCAATTGCTATAAAGATTGAGCTAACTCTACTCCTTGACATGAACAACGGGTTCGATGGCAAGTTCAGAACCCATAAACCTCAATCATGGCTCCGCCTCTAACCACAAGCTTACTGGCCAAAATAACAAGGATTCATTGGTTTGATACAAAATGGCCAAAGAAATTAGGATTAATACACGTAAATCTACATTGGTTGACAAGTAACGGACAATGTTGCACATACCCCAGAAAGTATTTGGACAAAGCCCCAATTCTAATCTTATTCGTACAGAGCATAAACCCAATATGTTATTCCCTCCATTGAAATTTATATATCTTACTTTTCTTTTTAGTTTTTTTTTTTTTCTCTATATTTAGAGCCCGTTTGGCCATGAAATCTTTTTCACTTTCTTTTAAATTTAACTTTTTTTCTAAATAGCATTTGGCCATAAAATTTTCAATTTTCGCCTCAAAATGAATATTGGAATTTTTGGAAAATTTGAAAAACTCCAAAAAAACTATTTTTTTTCAAAAAATTTCACACAGATCACTCACAAAAATTCAAAAATAACCTAAAATTATATTTATGTCCAAATAAAATTCTAATTTTCAAATACCATTTTCACTTTTCGGGAATTTGACAATTCTTATGTCCAAACGCCCACTTAGTAAGTTTTAAATTTCCTCATTCTTATTTTACCTTAATGATATGCACTTGTAAAATTGTCTTTAAGACCATAAGATTCAAAAATATTTTTGGTACAAGATTTTAGTTTAAGACCACGAGATTCTAATTGGTATGTCAATTAGCAAAACAATTCTTGAAATTCTTAAGATCATTTGCAAGAACAAATATTAGCAAAGACACTTAAGCACTGAAATTTTCATGCGATGAAAAGGAATGAAACCCAATTCATAATTCACTTACCATTTCTGGGTGAAGACCAAAGGCTGGGGGATGAAGGGTCTGCTTCTGTTGGGTTCTAGAAATGAACACTGAATTACTGTTAGTTCGAGTTTTCTTTTTACTTTTGCTAAGGCAGCCATGGATTTTGGTCCTTCGAGCTGCTTCTTACTGACACGTGTTTCACCATTTGCGAACAAATTTTCTTCTTTTTCTCTTTTCCTTTTCCTTTTTTTTTTTGGTGTGCTGTTTTTTGGTAATTTTAAGATTTTGTTACTATTTGTAGTCTCTCCGTCTCAAATTATTTATGGTATTTTTTTTACATGACTCTTTAAAAAAAGTAATTAGAAGGATTTTTTGATTATATTATCCTTATTTATGTTTTAAAATATAATCTTTCTTTATTGATATTTATTCTATTTATGTGTCATCTCCATCTTCAAGAACAATTACTACTAAAGATAAAATGAGACAAAATAAATGATTTTATCTTAAACTTCTAAAATGATAAATAATTTGAAACTACTATTTTTAGAAATTACAGTAAGTAATTTGAGATGGAGGGAGTAGATGCAAATTTCGATATAGCTAGATCAAGAAGATTTTTTAGGTTGAGATTCATAATAATGTATCACAACTATTAATTTTAATTATTTTCTACATTTTTAGTATTACTTTATATTTGTATGTCACCACACCTACCTACACACACACACATATATATATATATATATATATATATATATATATATATATATATATATATATAAAAGTCAAATGAAATGATAAACGATCAGGATTCTAGTACAGGATTCTAGTCTAGTACTAAACGATCTATCTTCTGATTTGCTTTAGGGAGAAATGGCACATCTCCTAGGGAGGGTTTCCGTAGGTTCTTTTAGCTGCAGTTACACATTCACTCTAGCTTATAAAAGTAAAATTAGAAATAAATATTGGTCCAGCAGTTTGTTGACAATAGGCTTAGCTCTCAATTTCCTTAGCTATGGTATCACTAGTCGTCTCAGATTTCTCATGGACTCTGATATTAGGTGTGATATCGATACCGTATTAAAATAGATACTAAGTTAATGCACATTTTATTTATAGTATATTATCTCTTTGTTGCACATGTAGAAGATATTATGTGAAACAAAAACTAAATTCAACATTTTTCTCTCTATTCTCTCTCAGAGTACTATTCCCATACTATGGATCCCCCTCCGATCAAGCCACCACTTCCACCAGAACCGCCTGATAAGCACAGACAAATGGAGGTAGAACTACCTCATCACTCCTATAGGGAAATGCTCTTGGACAAACTAGCAAGCAACCAAACAAACTACTATGAAAGTGACCACCAACAAATTCCAGATCTGGACAAAGGGAAGCACATTGAGGGTTCAATTCCACTCTCACAAGATCACAAAGAGCGCCTCTACTTTCCATGGCATTACTCGGTAATCATCAAAGTTTTCAAGCGAAAGATGTCCCACCATCTCCTTCGATCTAAACTAAACGACCTATGGAAGCCATCCGAACAGTTAATCTTGATTGACCTAGGGTGGGACTTCTACATAGTTAAATTTAGTATAGAAGAAAGTATGGTTAAGGCTCTACACCTAGGCCCCTGGTTTATCTCTGGAAGTTTCCTATCCGTACGTAAATGGGAACCAAAGTTTGTTCCTCAAGAAGCCACTCTTACTTCTACTGCCATATGGATCTGGCTACCCCAATTACCAACAGAGTTCTACGACCAGGATATCCTGGAGAAAGTTGGTAGGAAGCTGGGTAAACTTCTCAAGATAGACCAATGTACATCCTCTACCCTAAGGGGAAGATATGCCTGTATTTGTATTCAAGTTTCACTGGAGACCCCAGTAGAAACATCGGTAATAATAGGAGACCGTAAGCAGGCTGTGATCTATGAAGGAGAGGGGACTCTATGCACCGTTTGTGGCAGAATAGGGTACACTGCACAAATTTGCAACTACATGGCACCCACACCTAAAGCAACCCACGAACCACAGGATAATCATAAAAAAACAGAAGTCATTTCGGAGGAAAGTGAGTGGAAAATTGTCACCTTCCAAAGAAGAAGCAAGCAGGGGCAACCAAAATCAATAATCAAGAATGATGGTAGAATGAATAGACCACAACATACTCCACAGACGGAAGAGATTCAGGTAAATGTGTTTGATGCCAATTCAGGTAAATTTCTCCAAACTCAATCTCTTCGTTATAATTTAAAAAAAGTTAACCCCACCCAAAATACACAAAAGAGGCACAACGGCCCAATACTAAATAAAAACCACGCTAACACACAAGATCGGCCCCAACACGAGCAGAAAACAGGCCCACGAACGCAGCCCAATACAGGCGCCAAAAGGAAAGCGGGGCCAAATGCTGACGACCCCACTAACACCAATCATGAGCCCAGCGTCCAAGGGGCCTCTAACCCAACTCCCAAGACCACAATCCTCAAAAAGGGCGACGTACCCAATGGTGCCGATCCCCTTTCCCCAAACGGGAACTCCAACATGGGCACCACTGACATCCCAATTCCCCACCTAAAGACTCAAACCTACGCCTTCCCTACCAACACGCCTGAAACAACCTCTAATGGAGAAATATCAACAGTCACCAACAACAATCGAGTGCCCTATCTGGTACCTCCCCCCCCCCCCCCATTTCCAGATGAAAAGACTACAACCATCACCTCCATTAGATCCCCAATTAATGACCATCCCACCCCTAGTTCCGATGCCTAGAAACCCTTCCACTATCCAAGATGTGACACCAAAAGGTGTTATGATGGATCGACAGACCCTTAACTTTACCCCCCTTGTTACCCAAAGTAGCAAGACAAAGAAACACAAAAATGGCAAAAGAAACTCAACCAACCATCATCACCTCCCTACTACCACCGGACCACCAACCGGCCTCTTGGTTGGAGGTTGCTCTGCAAGGACAGGGACTCTCCTACAATTTCACCCTGGCCAATCAGAAGGTGACCCTAATAGTGCAAAACCCAACCCACCTAGCCAGAGTCACTGTGGAAGCGCTGACCAAAGCACTGGCAGCTTTTGGACCTCACTCCTATGGCAATCGATGGTCAACAGCGACAGCAGCTTCCCATTAACGGACCCTCAAGCTCTCAACAATCACATTCTGCAAAGCTTCCAAACCCTACCCTTCTTCCCGGATATGATGAAAGAGGACCCAGCAACGGAGCCGGTCTTCGTCATGATCGACCAGCCAACCCAAAACAACCCATCATGTTTTGCTCCAAAAGGGAAAAGCAACTCCCCACCTCTTCAGAATATCCAGAAAGGAATCTCCAAAGCACTAGAGATCCTCAAGAAGAAGAATGCCTCAGAAGAACAGGAAATGCCTTATGCTGCACCAAGAACAGACTCACTTCTCCTGGACTCAGTGAGATCGATAGAGTTCAGCACGGAACCAGCGAGATAGTAGTGGTACTATGCCCCAGAACAATGACCAAGTGTGGAATGAGCCTAGTCTTAGCCCAAACACACGGTCCGATAAAACCCCTTCTCAACCTAACTCCAGTCCTGAGTCTCAAGAGGAAGTCCCCCCCACCTCAAATGTCGGGTCCGCAAGGATCAAAGAGCACTCAAGAGGGAACTCACCAATCACCCCCAACTCCAATGATGAACTACATCTTATGGAATGTTAGGGGTGGCAACAATGCGGAGTTCAAATGGCACTGTTTAGAAATGGTGAAAATGCACAAGCCTGCCATGCTTGTATTGCTGGAAACGAAGATGGCAGACCACCAGACCCTAGCCCAGCAACTTCAGTTCGATATGATCATTCAGTCTCCGACAATAGGCCCGTTTGGGGGTATTGTGCTTATGTGGAAAGAGGAGTTCGTGGCTGTTGAAGAAGTGGCAACTACCCCCCAAGGCATCCACGCAATGGTGAAGGTAAGCCCAGACCACCCTCCATGGCTTTTCTCTGCTATTTATGCTAACAATCTCTTAGCAAATAGGAAACTCTTATGGGAGGACCTAATCACAATATCAAAAAACATAAAAACCAACTGGTTTATAGGTGGAGACTTCAACGAAGTCTTAAAGGCCAGGAACAAATTTGGGGGTAACCCCATAAACCTGAGCCGTAGCAACCTGTTTTGGAACTGTATAAATGAGTGTAACCTCCTAGACTTAGGCTATAAAGGAAGCAAATACACTTGGACTAATAAAAGGTACAGTAACAAAACCTCCTTAATTCTGGAAAGAATAGATAGGTGCTTTGCAAATGAAGGCTGGATTGAACAGTACCCTGAAGCTTCTGTACTTCACTTCCCTAGGACCCACTCAGACCATTGCCCGTTGCAAATTAACATGGTAGGGCCTCCAAACAACAAACCATCAAGGCCCTTCAGGTTTGAGTCAATGTGGGCTAGTCACCCTTCCTTCCCTAACATCATCAATAGGGCCTTCTCTAACCATTCCACCCTTCTTCAATCCACTGAAAGCTTCAAGATTCTGGTAACTAAGTGGAAGCAGGAAGTCTTTGGAAACATCTTCCATCAAAAGAAGAGACTTCTGGCAAGAATCTCTGGAATCCAAAAATCACCTAGCTATCAGTTCTGTAGTTACCTGTTACACCTTGAAACAAAGCTAAATGCTGAACTCAACCTAATCCTCAAAAATGAAGAAGACTTTTGGAAACTTAAGTCTAGAATCAACTGGTTAAATGAGGGTAATGCTAGCACTAGATTTTTCACACATCCACCCTCAATAGAAGAAGGAGGAATAGAATCCTCTCTCTTAAAGATGAGAATGGAAATTGGCTTCATGACCAAAAGGACATCCATTCAGCAATTGTGGGCTTCTTTACTGAGCTCTAAACAACATCCCACACTGAAGCCCCTTGGGATCCCACAGACCACTCCACCATGGAACCCATTCTGTCTCAAAGCCAAAAGGCTTTTATGGACAAACCTCTTCATGTGAGTGAGATTAAAAGGGCAGTCTTCTCCCATAAACCTTTCAAATCTCCTGGCCCGGATGGCCTTCACCCCTTTTTCTACCAAAAGTATTGGGACATAGTAGGGGACTCTATCACAAACTTCTGCCAAAAATGCTTCTCTACAAGCTCTATGGATAGCACCATGAACCAAACCCTACTGTGCCTAATCCCTAAATGCCCCCAAGCTTCAATGCTAAAAAATTTCAGGCCCATTGGACTTTGTAACACCATCTACAAGTCAGTCACAAAAATCATTGTGAACAGGATAAAGCCTATCCTGCCCCACATCATTGGGCCAAGCCAAGCGAGCTTTCTCTCTAATAGAAGAGCCTGTGACAATGCTATCATTGTCCAAGAGTATATCACTCACTTCAGGAAAATGAGGGGGAAGAGTGGCAACAAGATCCTAAAAATAGACCTAGAGAAGGCCTTTGACAGGCTGGAATGGTCCTTTATTAGAGACACTCTAGCTGCTTTCAACTTCCCCCATGGCCTATCCAAACTCATCATGTCATACATCAGTACATCATCCATTTCCATTCTTGTCAATGTTGGGAAAACAGAGTCTTTCAAATCCTCCAGAGGCATTAGGCAGGGCGACCCTACGTCCCCCTACCTATTCATTATGTGCATGGAAAGACTATCAAGATCTATTGATAACACAGTGCTACATAACCAATGGCACCCCATAAGTATAAGTAGGTCTGGACCAAAAATTTCACACCTCTTCTTTGCGGATGACCTCACTCTCTTTGCTAAAGCCAATGACAGAAACGGCAATACCATTCTTTCAATACTACAGAACTTCAATGAGCAATCCGGACAAAAAATCAATCTCACCAAATCAAGAGTCCTGTTTTCCTCAAACATCACTCAAGATGTAATTCAGCATCTCACCAATTCTTTGTCCATCAAGCACACAACATCCTTTGGAAAATACCTTGGTTTCCCCATTATTCACAAAAAACAATCAGCTACAGACTTCCAATTCATTATTGATAACATGCAATCCAAGATGGCTGGTTGGAAAACTAAATGCCTCAATATGGCTGGTAGAACAGTCCTGGCCAAAACTTCTTTGAACAGCATCCCAAGCCATGTTATGAAATACATAAACCTACCCACCAAAATCACCAATCAGATTGATAGAATTCAGAGAAACTTCCTTTGGGGCACCACCACTGAAAGGAAGAAGTTACACTTGATCAAGTGGGAGGTAGTCACTAAGAACAAGGCTGAGGGAGGGCTAGGGCTCCAAAGGCTAGTATCAAGAACAAAGCTTCACTCGCAAATCTGGCATGGAGAACCTATAAGAATACCAACAGACTATGGGCTAGAGTTCTCATTCAAAAACATTGCAACATGTCTAGACCAGTTAGATCATTCAGATACCCTAAACACCCAAAATCTCCAACCTGGAAGGGTATTCTAAAGGGTTGGGAGATATGCAACAAAGCAAGCAGATGGGTAGTCCACAAAGGAAATAGGGTCAGTTTCTTAAATGACACTTGGATCCCTAATCAGACAGCAATCAGACAAATGATTGAAGGCCCATTAACCCAAAATGACCTTGAGGCTAAGGTTAGCTCAATCCACAACATGGGCAATTGGGACACATCAGCCTTGTCCATTAACATCTCCCCAAGCATTTTGAACCTACTGAACTCTGTGTTCATCCCCCTGGTTACAACTAAGGAGGATAATCTTATATGGGACTTGACCCCTAATGGCCAGTTCTCAAATAGTTCTGCTTACTCCTTCCTAAGCAGGACTACAACCAACCTCCTTTCTGGGGAGGAAGGCTCCTTCAAATGGATCTGGAATCTTCAAACCCCCAACAAAATAAAATACTTCATCTGGCTCCTAACACATAAGAGACTTCCAACTAGGAGCTTCCTCCACTCTATTGGAATCAATTGTGTCCCTCAATGCCACTACTGTGACAATGAGCAGGAAGACATTGCCCATATTTTCTTTGAATGTCCTAATGCTGTCCACTTCTGGAATGACATTCTATCCAAATCTACAGGGAATAGTTCAAATAATCACCATGTCTTCAATAGCCTCCAGTGTCTAAAAAATGTCCCTTTCAACAACCACATATACTGGGACAACCTCATTCCCTTTTGTCTGTGGCACATCTGGCTAACCAGAAACAACAATGTTTTCAATAACAAGAAAGAGCACATCAATGCCAATAACACAATCTCGAAAGCAACTGAGTACCTTAAGCTTACAAAGAATGACTCAACAAAGGTAACTCACCAGATCATGTTAAAATGGGAACCTCCGTCCAGAGGTTCCTACAAACTGAATACAGATGGAGCAGCAAGGAGAAACCCAGGAATAGGAGGTTCAGAGGGAGTATTCAGAAACCATAATGGTGACTGGATATTGGGCTACATGTACAACATCCCCCAAACAACAAACACAAGGGCAGAAGTTCAGGCCCTAATACGGGGCCTACAACTGGCGGAGCAGAACCACCTAGTACCACTGGAAATAAACACTGATTCAGCTGAAACAATCAATATGCTTTTGAATGGAAGTCTGATTTTTGACCCTCTAATTTGTGAATGCAGGTCAATCATCCAAAGGACGGGCAGCGTAGTAGTGAGGCATATCTAACGGGAGTAGAAGAGAGTCGCTGATGCTTTGGCAAAGGAAGCAGCAAAAGAGATGTTTTTGAACAAAACTATGACACTATCAGTTCCTCTGATGTTTGTCAATGATGTATTTTGGGCAGACATCCTAGGAACTGAACTAGTTAGGTCTTTTGTGGGTTGTAACTTAAATACAATTATGCAAAACATTGCAACTATGGGGTCCCTGCGATACCCCAAATCTACCTGATGTGGTTCCTTTTGTTAACTAGTATATAAATACAACATCCCTTTTAACCAAAAAAAAGAAAAAAAAAGAATAGGTTTGGAGCTTTAATTTCGGTTAAGTGGTCCTCGAATGTGCCTTTATTTTAGCACTGTATTCATAAACTTTCCTTTTTGTAATACAGATTTAAGATTATAAATGTAAGGTAAAGTAACGTAGAATTTTAGTAGCAGTTATGTTACATCATCGAATAAGAAAGTAATTTGTGTAAGCTAAATTTTTTATTGATTTTAAAGTTTTTAATATTAAAAAATAATTAAATAACTATTCCTAAATAGTAGAGAATTGATAAGAAAATTATTAATAAGCAAAATTTTTAGTTGAATAAAAAGTTCTAAACATTAGAAAAATAATTAAATGACTATTCCTAAATAATAGAAAATCAATTAAATGACTATTACTGAATATTATGGATATACTAAATGATTATTTTGTCTAGTGTGAACTCTATTTTAAAAGGATAAGAAAGATGAATGATGTTTTGCTAAGCGGCTTCGTGCTTTAATATAGTACAAATATAGATAGATATTCAATGTTTACATTAATTTAGTTTAGAGTATTTTTGGTCTGTTAGATACATCTACGTCATTAGAAATTTGCAGAGAACTTATGGTGCTAGAAAACTTCAAAATTGGTTTGTTTTAGGGTAACTACCAGCTATATTCATATATAAGTAGCTCATTACAAAATTGGCCAATTCATAAAATATTACTAATATTAGCCTATTAGCTATTTGTAGCAAAAAAAAGTCAAATTTTTGCTTTCTTTTGAGTGGGTGTTATTCGGGGATTTTTACATCCCTATACATATTTGAAACTTTATTACCCTCCCTACTCAAGTTTCTATTTAGTTACATCCTATATACAAATTTACCAATTATATACACTTTAGGAATTAAATGAGTATCCCTTTATATTAGGAATCAATTATTTCCCATCCTTATTCTCTCTCCTTCATGCTCTCTCTGTTGTGAACCAAGTTGACTCCATAAGGGGCCATAGGCTAGAAGAGATGAATGAGATTGGGTCAATTGAGATTATTGGGCCGAGTAAAATGTTAGAGAACTATATTTGGGATCCAGGCTGATGTTCTAAACGTCAATACCACACAAGGGGGGGGGGGTGATTTGTGTGGTACCTAATTTTCGCACTAGAAGAACCTGGTTCTTCTAGATGTACTTACTATGACTGTTTGCGAAATTAAGAGTGCATAAAATAAAAAACACAGAGATTTTTACGTGGAAAACACCTGGCTCAAAAGGTGAAAAAACCACGACCTACTACTCAGTAGGATTTTCCCAAACTTCCACTAAAATCACTGAGCCAAAGACAGCATTTACAAACTCTTGTAAACCTAAGGATTAAACTCTAATCCCAGTGTGTCTCACGGCCTCAACTGCTGCGACACTTTCAAGTTAACTCTAACTTGAATACTCAAAGTACCTATTACAATTGCTTCTAGATAAAGCTGAAAGGTACAATATGAAAAACCTACTACAATTGAACTAGAAATAAAGAAAAACACAATGAAATTGGTTCTTCGCTCTTGGTTCATGTAGCTTCAGATTTGCACACTTGAATCACACATAAATTGCTTGCAAAATTTTCCTAGCTTTTTTGCTCTCAATTTAGTTTAACTTCTGCGTATGTGCAATCACCTGTAAAAGAGAACAATCTTTATTATTTATAGAGTTAGTAATCAGAGTTTGATTAAAACCCGAATTGCTGATCCTTCATCAAATTCGAGTCCTAGAACAACTCAAACTCCAATCCTTTATCCTTGATCCGGATGTAGTTCTCTTTACATAAGGAGACTTCAACTCCTTATCCTATGCAACCTTTTCGATCAACTCAGAAGATATTGTTGCTGATCCTTGAGACTTATCTTCTTCACACGTATGTCACATGTGTAAGCATATCAACACTGTGTCTCACATGATGGACCTGGTTCATGACTGAGTTCATTTTGTCAATCTTCAAAACTTCATCTGAACTTGGGCCAACAATTCCCCCTTTTCGATGATGACAAACTCTGTGCTTTTATTGACCAGAGACCCTGTGGAACTCAGCTTAATTTTCACACTTTAATTTAACTTATCATTAAGGACCAGGTTTAATCAGGTTATAAACATCACATTTTTCAGAATACAAAGTAAAGCACAATATCTCTTCCCCCTTTTGGCATCATCGAAAAGTTGCATATTATATGAATTCCAGATTTTAATTAATACTCATGGCCACTGGGGCAACTGCAAGTGAAAACATGATATAGTTAATCAATAATCAACTTCACAAAAAATTTAACTATTTAGATCAGAAGTATCATATAACAAGAGACAAAAAAGCATATTTTCATTTATTAGGGGGTGTTTCCACATAACAGACCACAAAAAGAAAAACAAACATCCAACCATGAGCAAAAAAAAAAATAAAAGTCCCGAATCTGGGTCACTGAGGGGGTTTCTAAACTGGTTCTAGGTCTTGGAGGAACTAGAGGGTTGGGATTGAAGAAGATTGAGCATTGTTTGGAGCATCCCTTCACTCTTTCCTTTTTCTTTTGCTAGCTCATCTTTGAGGCCATTTCTTTCACTTTCCAGTTCAGCAATGCGAGCCTGGAGCCTAGCAATTTCTGCATCTTTTGTGCCACATTCTAGAACCAATGCCCTAACTTTGCTGTTCACAGGAGTCTTCACGGATGAACCAGGTTCGACTGGGGTTACACTTAGCAGATAATCACAAGCCTGCAGAGTTTTGATTCCAGAGTGCTCTTTGCTAAAGGCCATCTCCCACCTTTTCAATGGCACATCTAACTTGGCCAAGACAGTTGTCAGTATAAACCCATAAGGTGTGGCATGGGCCTTAGAGAAATTGATGACTCTATCCAGCAGCTTGACAATGAAAGCAGGCCAATTAATCTGCTTTCCTCTCACAAGACACTCCAGAAGGACCAAGTCCATGTAGTTAGCAGTATGCCTCCTCTCCTGTCTGGGCAACAAACACTTGTTCACAAACTCAAAAAGTACCTTGTGCTCAGGCTTCATTTCACTCTTTTGCACAAATCTAGCCTCAGGCACTTCTTCAGTAGACTTGGTATCACAGAAATTCCGAGTGATTTGGAGAGCAGAAGGGAGAGAATCTAGACAAGTCCACATTTGCCTAGTATAATCATCATATCCCTCACAGGTTATGTCTAGAATTCTTCCCAACTTAGGTGCATCAAATTGCACCTCTACTCCTCTCACCAAGCTTGTAACAACCCCATTCACCACTGTGGCATTTGCCATAAACTCTATCAGTTCTTTTCTTGCAAGTCTGCCATCCAGTTGAAGAACCATGTCCTTCCAACCCTGTGCTTCCAGTGCATCAACCAATCTTTTCATGCCTGGCTCCTCCAGGTCTTTCAGAATTCTTCCTTTTAATATTTTTCTTTTTTTAAAAAGAACAAACCTGTCCTGCTCTTTCTCAGATTCCTCTTCTTCTTCTTCTCCACTCCAAGCTTCTTCTTCTTCAGGAACTTTTACTTGTTTTCCTTTAACTGCAGACCTGGTTCTTTTTGCCAGGGAGGGTTCAGCAGAGATAGATTCTGAAGATTTCTTGGTAGAAGGCTTGGATTTCTTAGGTTTAGGAGTGAGAACCTCCTCAGTTGTACCTCTCTCCTGATGGACCAGTTCCATCTCTTTCTCCTCTTCTTCTGCAGCCACAGAACTTTCCAGAACTTTAGCTTTTCCCTTTTCCTTGTTCTTTTTCTTGCTTGCCTCTAAGGCTTTCTGCAACTCAGCTTCACTTTGCTTTACCCTGATTCTAGTAACTTTCACCTTTGGTACTGAAGAGACAGTAGACTTAGGAAATGACACCTTGCTCTTCTTTGTTGGCTTAGAGGCAGTTGGAGCCTTTTGAGAAGAAGCTTTGCGCTTCTTGGGATCATAGCTTTCTCCAACTTTCTTCAGAATGTCAGCCAAGGTTTCTTCCACAGATGAACTAGGTGCATCTTGTTGTTCACTCAGGTGCACAAGACCTTCAGCAGCCTCCCCAGTTTCACTTCCCCCTGCCTTGTTGCCACTTTCCTCAACTCCTCCACAAATTGCAAGAATTTCACCTTTCTTTTTCTTTCCCTTCCTCTTCAATTCTCCCTCCCTTACATCTCTCACGGACCCCACTAACACAAACCTATCATCTACTTTCTCCACTACATCAGAAAAAACATAGCATGTATTTACCTCTTTAGGGGTTTCTTGATTCTTGTCTGATTCAGAAGACCCATTTTCTTCTCCATCGCTTGCAGAGACAAAAGCTTCAGACTCGGAGCTTGAGTCAGATGATTCCTTTTCAGAGCTTTCCCCTCTTTGACTCGCTTTCAATTTTTTGTTGAGAGCTGTTCTTAGAGCACCAGTAGCTACAGTCTTTCTTGCCAACATTTTCTGCCTGCGGAATCTTGGTTTAGGGTTGTCGCTAGGAGGTACAGATGAAGATGTGTTAGGAGATGTTGGTGGGGGAGTTAATGGATTTTCTTGAGGGTTAGTCATGGCGGAGAATTTCTGGAGGACTTTTGGGAATTTTTGAGAATTTTGGAGAGATGGAGGATGATCAGGGGTTTAACACTTAATAACAGTTATGGAGTGAAGTAGGAATATGTGGAGTGTATTTAAAGTAGAGTATGATTAGGTGCAGTAATGACAGTCGTTTGCAGTGGTCAATCAGGGGTTTAATCTCATTAGGACTCCGGTCTTTAAGAGGTAATTGATCGACGCTAGTTTTAAGGAGAT